GTGATGAGGCGGTTGTCTTGAAGGCGTTTAAATACTGCCTCGAGGTCGCGGATGTGTTGGTCGCGTGTCCTGCTAAACATCATAATATCGTCCAGGTAGACGATAACACACTTGTCGAGTAGATCGCGGATAACCCTATTCATGGTCAGTTGAAATGTTGAAGGCGCGTTTGTGAGGCCGAAGGGCATCACTGTGAACGCGTAGCTTCCATAGCGGGTTCAAAAAGCGGTCTTGTGACGATTGTAGGCGAAGACTCGAATCTGGTGGTAAACGCCATGTAAGTCGATTTCGAGAAGTAGTGAGCGCCGCGAAGTTGATCGAGGAGGTCATTGGTGCGTGTGATGGGATAGCGAGACTTGTTGAACGCACGATAGTTGATGCACATGCGAAGGCCGCCTTTTTTTTTCCAGCGTGAACAGGATCGGGGATCCGAACGTGGATGTACTGGGTCTGATGAGACCTTTCTCCGGCAGGCCATCCAGCTGGCTTTGCAATTCCTCGAGTTCAGGCTAAACCAGCCGCCACTGTGTACGAACAGTCGGTTGCGCGCCCGGCTCCAGCTTTATTTTGTGGTCCTCGGGGCGTTCGGTTGGTAATCCAGGTGACAGGTCGTCGGGGAATATTTCTGGGTACTGACGAATCAACTGCGCCAACTCGTCCGGGACAGCTGCGCAGAGCTTCTCGATGTCGATTCCATCGGTGTCGACTGCCAACTCGCGCAATCGGACGGCGTACAGCTGTGATTCCCCTGTTGAAATGTTGCGTGATTGTGATGGCTTTGACGCATGTGGCCTCAATGTCGTCCAAGTCCACGCGGGCAATTTTATTAACCCCTCATGCTTGCTGATGCTGCATGAGCCCGTCGTCTAGTCGATGATCGGGTTGTGCCGTCGCAGCCAATCGCGTCCCAGGAGCACGTCGCAGCCATCCAGTGTTGTCGCGAGGAACTTCATGCTAAAGCCGAAATCGTCGCCGCATTCAATCCGCACCGTCCGTGTTTCTTCCAGTATCGCTAGAGGCGTCCCATCCACGAGGCGAATGTTCTTATGGCTCTCATGAGTTGTGTTCGGGCCCGTAGCCTTTCCACTTGATGAGGAACTCACGTACTGTCTTGTGGCCGTGCTGTTGATCACAGTGCATCAGCACTCGTTCGACTTTGTAAAACAGTTCCTCTCCCAGGACAATCATTGGTGGCAGCAAGTACTTGCCCTCTGCAACGTACTTGTTCAACAGAGACACATGGAAGATGTTGTGAATCTGTAATGAATTAGGTAGCTTAAGCTTGTAGGCTACCACACCAACACGCTTGATCACCTCGAGTGGCCCAATCAATCGAGGGAACAACTTTCGTGCTCCATGGATTTTGAGACGAATGTTCTTCATGCTCAACAAAACTTGGTCTTCGACCTCAAATGAGACTTCCCGGCGTTTCATGTTAGCGTAAGACTTTTGTCGCTGCTGAGAGAGTTGCAGCCAATGGCGAGCAGACTTAAGCACTTCTTGCTGCTTGCCAACAAAGTCTTTAGCAGCTGCATTTTTCAATCCGCCGATCCATGTGTAGCAGGTGTTGTGGGATGCCGGCCACAGTTCAGAATGAAAGGTCTCTCACGTGTACCTTCATGAACTGAATTGTTCACTGCGATTTCGACGACAGGTAACAACTCGTCCCAATCATCCTGAGTTGGGCCAATGAATGAACAAAGCATTTGCTCAAGTGTTCGGTTTGTTGGTTCCATCTGCCCATCTGTTTGTGGGTGGAACGCCGATGACATCTTAAGCTTCGTTCACAGTGTCCGTGTAACTTCTTGCTTGAACCGGCTTGTGAAGCGTGGATCCCGGTCGGACACCAATACACGTGGTAACCCGTGTAAGCAAAAAACGCGCACCATAAACAATTTAGCCGTATCTTCCGCAGATACGTCAGTTGTCGTAGCCACGAAATGCACCATTCTTGTGAGATGATTCACGAACACTAGGATCGCTGTATGGCCATCGCGGGTCTTGGAGAGATTTGTGGCATAATTCAAGGATACGCTCTCCCAAGGTTCGTTCGGGATTTTGAGTGTTTGATGCAAACCACCTGGCTTCTTTGTGTCCGTTTTATTTCGTGCGCATGCATCGCATCGCCACAAATTGATGAATCTCTGTGCCCAATCCCGGCCACCAGTACACATCCCTCAAGGCCCACATGGTCTTCTTGACCCCTAGGTGTCCCGCGCACTTAGTGGCATGCACTTCTTCCTGAATATCGTTCCGCAAGTTACCCACGTGTGGTACAATCATCTCCTTCTCGTGCCACCAGAGCTCATGCTCCCATTTGAGTCCCTTCGTGTTTCGTGGGTTCTGAAACCAGGAGTCAATTTGGTACCCTGTGCGGATGCGTTTCAGAAAACCATTGAAGGTGATCTCACTCACTCGAGCTGCTGCAAAGACACTGAAGCAAGCAGAAAATACTGCCGCATCTTCTGTGTCCTCTAGCCTTGTTGCCGCCCCTATCGGCTGTCTGCTGAGGGGGTTAGCCAGGTTCGTCGAACCTGCTCGATATCGAATATCGAATGTGAACCCACTAAGGAGTTCTGCCTATCGGGCTTGACGTCGAGTGAGCGTGGCTTGGGCGGAAAAATAGGTGTTAGGACAGTGGTCGGTCGTAACCAAAAGAATCTACACCCTCCAAATAACATCGCCATGTTCGTAGCGCATGAACGATCGCCAACAATTCTTGTTTGGACGTCGTATAGCGCTGCTCTGCCGGGGAGAGCTTTCGACTCTCAAATGCCACTAGCCTTCCCTCTTGCAAGAGGATAGCCCCAATCCCTATCAATCAGGCGTCGATAACAACATCATAGGGTTTCGTCGGATCCGATAATACCGGTATTTCCTCGTCGAATGCCTTTTGGCATTGCTGTATCCATTGCCACGCACTACTCTTACGAGTGAGTGACGTCAATAAAGCAACAATGGTGGAGTAATTTTCAAAAAATCGACGAAAGTAGTTCGTCAGTCCCAAAAACGACCTGATTTGACCCGCATCTTGTGGAACCGGCCACTTCTGGAATGCGACAACTTTCTTTGGGTCTACTTTGAGACCGTCAATTCCCACGAGATGGCCAAGATATTCCAACTCGCCAAGAAATGACATTTCCACAGACGAGCATAGAACTCATGTTCTCATAGTTTCCCTAACACCCACCGAAGGTGTCGCGTGTGCTCCTCTTCCGTCTTGGAATAAACCAAGATATCATCCAGATAGACCAGAACGAACTGCCCAATCGCCTCACGAAAGACATCATTCATAGCCCTCGAGGCAGGAGCATTGGCCAAGCCAAAGCTCAGCACTCGCCACTGAAAATGACCAAACGGTGATCGGAAAGCCGTTTTGGGTACACCTTCTTTAGTGATGCGCAATTGATGATACCCTTGTGCAAGGTCCAATGCGCTAAACCACTGCGCACCTTGGAGTTTATCAAACATATCCTTTATCCTTGGTAGCGGGTATCTGGTTTTCACCGTTATCTTGTTCAGAGCACGGTAGTCTACGCACATGCGTAACCCTCCGCCCTTTTTGTTCACGAACAAGATCGGCGCTCCGTAAGGTGATACGATTGGTTCAATCCATCCCTTTCTAAGATATTCCTCGATTTTTTCTTTAGCCTCCACGTACTCAGCTGGACTGAGGCGATACAGAGGTCTAAAAGGTGGGAGTTTTCCAGGCTCCACTGGGATGGTGTGACCGACAACACGATCCGGAGGAAGGTCATCGGGGATGGGCGCAAAAAAAACCGCAAACTCGTCCGCCAGTGCTTTCAACTCGTGTTCAGCATTCTCAAGGTGTACCACAAAGAATGTATCAGCTTGTCGAAGATGCTGTCCGAACTCATTTGCAAGCGCAAAACTCACATCGGGGCGTTCCAACGTGTGTTGATTGTTCGTGATCAGGTCCTTAGGCACTTGCCACTGAACACTGTCACCATTATTTGAGAATGAGACAGTATTATCCTGGAAATTGAGTTTGACTTCATTTTCTCGAAGCCAATCCATTCCAAGGACTAGATCGACTCCCGCGAGAAGGGGTAAAACATAAGCGCAAATTTCTTTGCGATAACCTTCAATCTCCATGTTTATCAGTGTCCGCCGTTCGCTTGCAACGACTCTATCATCACCAAGGCGAATGGGGCAAGACGGTCCTTCAACGAGGATCGTGCGTGCTGTGACCACTTTTCGTCAAAGAGGGAAACAGTTGCACCCGTGTCAACAAGGATTTTTGCGCTTTCCCCGTTCACGCTACCCGCAAGCAACAAATTCTGGTGATGCTTTGGGCGAATAGGACATGCCACAACATTCGTCAAAGGTTTGAAATACACCTTGACGTTGTGACGAGTGCGTCCATGTGACTGAGAGTTGGTCCACCATACATGGTGTCCCTTGTCCCACGCCGCCAAGGCCGGCCATCCACAAAGCATATGGGACAATCCGCCTTTCACTATGCGAGTCACCAACGCGACCGAAGTCAGGGGGTGCTCTTGAGTGCAATGACTCACTATTTTAATGACAGAAGGCAGTATGTCCAATCCACAGAAATTAGTTGAAATTTTATCCTGTAGTGCTTCGATGGAAATTTTCTCAAGTGGGTATGATCGAGGATAAAAAGCAAAGTTTTTCTTAGATGATGAGGCAAACAAACAAGAGATTTTGCAATCAGCAAGCTTCTCTAACTTTAATATATCATCATCACATAGCACATATGCCTCATCCACTCGATCTATTCCTCCAACTAGGTACCCACACCCTAGTTGGGCTTCTGAAAATCCTTCTTTCCAGAAGGTCCAGCGGTGCCTGACTTAGGCTTTCCCGAATACTTGATTGGGTTCTTGTCACGGCACTGCCTTTCGATGTGCCCCATCCTTCCACAGCCGTTTCACCGCTTGTCGGAGACGTCCGGGTTGTTAGGGCCACGCCCTCCCCCTCCGTTAGCCCTCTTGACTTGCAGCTCCGACTTGTGCTCACGCTGCTAGAAAGGCCCCTCCGCCTTTGGCATTATGGGGTCGGTTTCCCCGACCGCCAGAGCCTTCAGCACGAGGCTGCTGGTCTGGCTCCTCGGGACCATCCAGATACGTGCGAATGGTGGTATCCGTTTTGATCACCTGCTCCTTCAGCTCCTTGTAAGTCCTCCAATTGGTCATGCCACCGGTCATGTGTGCCCGCTGCAGCTTGACAGGGAGGCCTTTGATGAAGGTGTGCATCGTCTCCTCCTCAGACAAGGGCTTCTCGAGCATGCGTAATGCGGCCTTGAACTTGACCGCATAGTCCTACACCGAACGGTTACGACACTTAATAGGCGTCCGCGCAATTCCAGGTCGGACTTCTTGACCATGAATGCATTTTTCAGCGCGGTGCAGAACTCCGGCCATTCAAACGGTCCTTCCGCCTGCTTCTTAGCGCCATACACCGCCTTGGGGGCCACCTCGTCCAATGCACATGTACCTGCGATAACACGAGCCTCGCTACGCACATTTGCAAGGGTCATGGTGGTATCCACCAGGTCAAGCCAAGGCTCCACCTTCGTCTTGCCATGGATAAACTCAGGTAGAGGCGCTGAGAGACACCCAAATGGTGAGGTCTCAGTTGGAGGTGGCTGGTGCATAACCTACGCAGCGCCTATTTGCGTAGGTGCGGGCAAAGAAGGTGCCGACTGAGCAGCAGGAGCGTGCCTACGCATAAGAGGAGGCTGGTAAATGCTCTCCCTTCTAAGCTCCCTGTACTTCTCACGGAGCTAGTTGCATGACGCTTGCAAAAATTTGCAAGTCTCTTGAAGCTCCTCAAGAAGGCGCTTTTTATTGCCAAGGCTGCGACAGAAGTTACGAACCTCTCCCGTGGCAACGCCCACCTGAGCCTTAAGCTGCTTAGTCAGAGTGGTGAGTCCGTTGATGGACTTCTGCTGTTGCAGGATGGTGATATTCTGAGTTGACACTTGAGCCTGGAGCTTAACAATCTCCTCGGAGATAGGATAACTCATGCCTTCACCCTCAGTGAGGTCATTTTCATCACCAGTGTTCTCCTTTTCACTGGTGTTTTCCTCTTCACCATTGTTATCCTCTTCACCATGGTTATCCTCATCTCCAAGGTTCAGGTCCTCAATATCATCAAGCTCAATGTCTCATCTTGATTGAGGTCAATCTCAGCAGCATTGTTCACCACCTTATTAGGTGCAGTGGGCCCTTTCTCCCTTGCCATTTCCTTCTCTTGGCTGGATGCCATAAGGATTAAGGGAGTTTTTCACTTCTTAGTTGATTCTGTTAAATTTCTTTTACCACCTCAAGGGTAAAGCAAGAAATTCCTATAAAAAAAAATATTCTATAGAATAACGTTAGGTTACCAAATGTAACAGATTTGTTGCCAACACTCCCAATCAACTTAGTGAAAGGACATGATCTATCCAAATCTCTATGAAAAGAATTCGAATAACCCTCAACAAATCCTCCAGACCTGAGTTTATACTCAACTACTCAACAGTAGAGAGTCTTCCACCAAAAGGTGGGCAAGAGAGATGAATCTCTCTTCTTAAGCTTGAAGTTGCAGGATCTTGAAGATCCTGGACTCTTCAAACTTCGTGCTTCCAAGATCTATAACAAAAAAACTCCCTAGGGAAAAATCCCCACTAGGATTAGGATAAACCTTGCTCTAGATACCAATGTAACAATCACCGGCCTTATAACAATGGGCAACCATGTGTTAATGTCAAAGATACAAGGTTTTGAGGATCCAACTAATCCCAGCAAGAAATAACATATCCTTGATAATACTCTTGATGAACTTGAGAGGAGAAAGGAACACTTGAAGAGTGTTGAGGATAGTCCCAGCGGAGACCATCGAGCGGCCATTCAAGACTTGCGGCATCAGCAATCGTCCTGACGGCGTGGAATACCACCTCATCCTGGCGCATGTAGAGGTGCACGACGATGTGCACGCCGCTAGAGCCGCTGAGGAGTGGGTCAACCCACTCTACGCGACCGGCGACCTGGAGGAGGAGGAGACTGGCACCATGGTTTCTGAGGATGAGGAGGAGTAGGTAGTGCTAGTGTAGCGTAGTGTATGTTGGATGCACGTCATTCTGAGTGCATGTCATCCTAACGTCCTGCCAAGTGCTCGTGCTATTCATGCGTGCATTGTTTGCATGAGCGTTTGTCATTGTGCATGGCTGTTGGATTTTACCATCTCTGTGTTTTCTCCAAGTTTAAATGCTTGAACATGCAGGAGAAATCCAGAGCTTTCCAACGATACCAAGATCGCCTTATTCCGACCAAGATCGCCCAAGTTACAAGATTTCCAAGACTTGGATTTCTTATTACCTTTTAAGGTTATATCTAATATGGGTGATTACTTGGGATATGACTATAAAGGGATCTTTGGTTGGGTGGTTAGGGAAGGCAACTTTGACTTTTGGATTGGGGTGGCTAGAAGTTTCTAGCATGGGTTGCAAATGTTGCAACACCTAGGCAAAATCCAACTTGATTGGATTTTGCATGTGACACCTCAAGGACCTCATGATGAGGGTTGCATCCTTGCTGCTAGGAAGGTTCCTACCATCCTTCCCTAGCTCTTGGAGAACCCCTTCCCTCTCATGGTTCTCTTGGAGTCCCCAACTCCTACATTCTATGCCCTAATGTTTGTACTTCCTCCACCATTCTAGTCATACGGCTGCTGGACGTTTCTAAGTCCTTCTCACTCTATAGACCATCTTAACGACTGATTCGAATTGGAGATGGTAGCTAATCCTAAGGCGCACAATCCTACCGAGCGGATTTGCGTTTAGTTGAGAATTCGATTCGTAGTAAGTTCTCAAATTGACGGATCCTGAAGAACAGTGTAGGTAGCGCTGGAATGTCTACCATCTAACGTAGCTTAGTGTAGGTTTTGACTCATATAACTTTAGAAAATTTAGGTCAAAATGTATTGAGATTGTGGCAAAACCGATTATAAAGGAAGAGGAGGAGGGGGGGGGGGGGGGTGGGGGGGGGTGGGGTGGGGGGGGGGGTCTTATACTTATAATGACAAACATGCAGGTCCTCAAGAAAACAGTCAAAATAAAAGACCCGCAGTCCGGAACGAGAAGGGGGGGGGGGGGGGGTGGGGGTTGGGGGGGGCTTTTAGCCGAGAGATTACGGTCCTGTATGTCAGAAGCTTCTGAGCTCCTAGTGTCTGTATTACAGCGTGTTATTTTATCTTGTGAAGATGCCATTGGATTCATCCTTAGAAAGGGATTACGTACCTTTTAATGTTGACACATTTACATCCAATAATCAGATCCCAAAGCATGCAAAATTAGGGGTTCAAAGGATTTCATGCAGCAAGTAACATCAAGAAATTATATATACCTAAAATCGGAAATATCATTCGCAACTCCTCAAAAGCAGTCTTAGAATAGCAAGGAGGGGAGATACAAATACAACCCTAAATGTGTTATACTCCCTACTGTGTATCTCACTATAGCCTAGTGTTACAATCCCACGCTGGACTTAGCCAGAATCGTGCTCATGGTTGATCGCGGAGTAGTATGTAGCGAAAGTGAATAATGACACATGTCAGAGTGAATACATAGGTTTATATAAGATTACAAAGGAATGGGAAACGACCCAGCTAGCCATGTACTCTAAGGGGTACATTCCCTTATTACATCGAAATTCAACCGTGCGGCGCGGGAACCCGTTCGAAACCTGTTCCCGCCTTTTGCCATCCGAATGCTTCTGCCTGCATCGGTCTTCATCTCACAACTGTCCTCGACCCTTCGGTTCTTCTGACTCTTCGTCTTCGTACTCGGTAGTTCGGGTACCTATTACGTTCAGGAATGTACCAAGTATATTTCCTTATCGTAACACCCCCCTTCATTCTAGGGCGTAGAAAGTTGCACGCTTTGCCCTATTCCGTTTGGTTGAACAGCACCCCTGACTCTCTTGACCACTCCGCTGAGGTTATCGCAGTGCTGACGTGGTAGTCGCTTAGTGAAAAAGTCCGCTGCCATGTCAGTAGTGGGAGAGTATGTCAGGTTAACCTTGCTTTTGTCGGTTTCGTCCTTGACGAAGAAATATCGCAGCGCGATGTGCTTCGTTTGATTGACGAAGCCGGGCTTGTTCGCAATCCTGATCGCACTCCGGTTGTTGCAGTAAAGACGAAAGGTTGACGAGTCCTTCGCGAACTGCAATGGTGGCGGCGATGAATCCTGAAGCAGTGCTTCGCCTGACGAAGGGCAACCAACTCCTGCTTCTGCGAATTCTAGGAGATGGGTCCCGTTGGCTCGAGTCGGAAGAGGAAGACCGTTCGTGTCTGTCGATTGTCATGATCAACGGCATGATTTGCATCCACGTATCCAACAAGGTTAGGGAGTGGTGGAACATCTTGTCGAGCTGGCCTAGACTCGCGACACTTGCGCATGCGCTGACTTTTGTCCTCCGGGTAGATGGCAGGTCGGAAGATCATGGCGCCATTCAAGTTCTCCAGATCCTCCAGCCGGTACTCCAGGCGTCCCTTCGTCTCACGTGCGTAGTCCTGACAAAGTTTCTTGCATGAGTAGTGGTCGCCCCCACTGGTTTGACCTGCGATCGGGCGCTCGTGCAGATGGAACACGTGAACAGCCGGAGCATCGTTCTTGTCCACTCCCTCCACCGTTACCTCTCGGTGTAGCAGATATGCGTTCTTCATGAGGAAAGCATTAAGCATGGGGGATTGGTCGTTGCCGAACGCATCCTCACATTTGATTCAACGGAGTTCGATGGTGCGACACGCTAGTGAGACTACGCTTGCGACGACTGTAATGTCAACCTGCCAAGGTAAATAACAAAGTCAACAATGTTAGATGCCGCATTTTTCAATCAGGGAACCGAGGCGATTTGCAAACTATAAACAACATTACCTGAAGCTTATGGAATTTGGTATTCAGGTCATTCAGGATGGCCAGCAAGTCGGCGAGGATGTAGACGAGAAAGTGAAACTTGAAAGACGTGCAGAACTCATACATCACGTTCTTGTTCTCATGCAGCAAGATCAAAGTCGCTGGCAGTACCTTGGCGAACCTCTTCACCGCCTCCCCCCCTTATAACCAGCGCACGGCACGAATGCCCTGCGACTCGAGGTTCGTCTCTATGAGGATCGATAGGATCGAGTTCAGAAAGTAAATTATGATCACATGGGTACAACACGACACAAGGCAAAGTAACCAGGTGTTACGAGAAGGTTCCACGGGTCGCGAAGCGTCCCGAAAGGGTCCTTCCCAAATTCGGTAGAAGCCGGTCGGTGGGAACCGAAAAGCACAGAATTCGGCGCATGTAACTAGTTCGGTGCCTATAGATATAATACGTATAGTTAAGCAATGAAAATAGGAAAACAAGCACAGAAAAATAGAAACAAGCAAGATAATGCAAATATAGGTAGGCAGAGCTGTCGTACTCTCAAACGTCCCCCCCTCAAAGCTGGGTGGCGTGAAAAACACCCTGCTTGACAAGATAATCGTTGAGAGCACGGCGTGCATTGCCC